CCCCCCCCCCCACTCCTCCCCCTGATTTTCCACATGTTGAGGAGTCACAGTGGCTATGACGAGACACGACCACACTTGAGACGCTACCAGAACGATGGAAAAAGGAATTATTACGCGGGTAATTGCCTGCGTATAATTCGACATGAGCGTCATTGACATTAAGTGCGACTTTGGGATTCTGTCGTTGGTTTTTTTATTCACCGTCCAGGTGGCATTATAACCGAGTATGGCGATGTATTCACCTGCGTTGGGAAGAAAGAATCGATGAAAATTATGGAGCTGTCATTTTTCAGACGATGAGGCATTAGAAATTGCTTCTGACAATCGATTATTTTGTGGGAACTAAATCAGATATCACTTCATGATGGATTATACTGCTTGAAATACATTAAATCTTATAGATTATTTATTTAGAATTTTGAATTGGATTGAGGGGAACAATTACATTTCAAATTTTAGTGGAAATTCAATGGAAATCATTGATTGGCTTGAATTTTCCTGATTTTTGTTAATTTTCGGGGAATAATTGTAATAAAATTTACAATTTTCAATGATGAAAATTTTTGAAAAAAATTTAACAGTTGATAGCGAGTTTTTATAATTTAAAATGAAGAGCCGAGAGCGAAGTGAGCGAGGGGCGGGGCTTCCCCCGTTAGCGAGCGAAGCGAGCAGGGGGCGGAGCCCCAAGGAACATAATATACTGAAATTTACAGTTTCCATTTATTTTTTTCATGAAATTCGAATTTTCAATGATGAAAATCCTTTAAAAAAATTAACAATCAATAGAGAATTATTCTAATTTACAATAAATCTATAAAGAGGCGAGAGCGAAGCGAGCGAGGGGCGGAGCTTCCCCCGTTGCTGGCGAGCGATGCGAGCAGGGGGCGGGGCACCCAGTGGCATAGCCTAAAATTACGTTCGCAAGGGCTTAATTCATCTTCATTGCTTTGTCCACTGGTCAATGATGTCATGACCCCCGACATTTTCATTTCGCCAATCGCTAAAATACCAAATCGCTGACTAAAACCCCCACAAAGACCGCCGGATTACCAGAGACGCCAGCTGGCCACAGATGCTCATCAACAAAATCCCACCAGAAAAGTAAATTAATCAAGTAACCAACAAAACTGGTAGTGCCTCGTCACGTTTTTCTGCAATATTAGCATTAAAAGGTTTGACGTACAACTTGTTGATCGACATAAACGCTCGCACATTGTGTGCGTTTAAATCGCCAAGGCGATCGAGCATTGTCCCGGACATTAGGAGTCGTATACAGCACCGAGACCTTGTCCAGATGCCAGCATCAAACGCTAATGTTTTCAACTTGATTCTCTTGTTTAGTCATCCTTAAGCATTACGCTTGAGTGATTGGCGCTAATGTTTTGCCGATCGCGACCCCAATATATTTTTTTTTATCGATTTGTCGGCGATGAAAAAAAAAATTGTGACAAAAGATTATTAAATTAGGCAATGTCACTTTTTATAAAATCAGAACAGATGACTCGACACAAATCTCCAATGATCATTGGTGAAATTATTTCGTCACAATTATTAGTCGATCTTTCACTGTTTCATTATCCATAATGGACTACCGATAGATCATTAAAAATCCATCTGTCATTTGTGGGCTATTAGACCGTAGCGGTGACCTTCAAAAGCATCATTTCACTTCATTCACTTAATTTCTCTTTTTCAATTATGTTATCACGGGAATTCCATAATGAGGACGGAATATTTTCATCATTCCATTGGTGAGATGATCAAAGTCAAGGATATAATCGAGTCACATCGGGTCGTGAGAGAAAACCACAATGATTGACGTAATATAATGCATATTGTGTCGATGCATGTATGCAAAAGAAAATTCATAAATGAAAATTCGAGAATTTTCCTGTTCTCTATTAATTTTAGTAGAGTAATTGAACCGAAAAACAAAAATTTTCAACAGTGAATGGAGTTATTATTATTTTTTAAATAAATGTTTTCATATCTCTACATATAGTTTTTTTATATAAAAATGAAACGGTTGCACCCGCACAGTCGTGACCGCTAGCGAGGGAGGGGCTGAGCCCCCCTTACTAGCACGCGGGGGGCGAAGCCCCCCCATGACATAATATTCCATTCAAACGCTCCATCTCACTTCATCCACTCAATTTCTCTTCTTCAATTATGTTATTACATAAATTCAGTAATGAGTATGGAATATTTTCATCATTCCATTAGTGAGATGATCAAAGTCAATGATATAATCGAGGATTTATGGGTCTATAGTCCCATCGGTTTTCTTCTGCACATTCCATCGACACATAGATGCAGAAGAAAATTCATGAGTAAAAATTCAAGAATTTTCATGTTTTTTATGAATGTTATTTATTATAATTTTTTATTTTAGAGTCATTATTTTTCAAAATAAATGTGTTTATATCTCTTCATACATCCTTTTTATATAAAAATGAAGCGGTCGCCCCCGCACAGTCGCGACGGCAACTGAGGGAGGGGCGCAGCCCCCCCTTACTGTCGCGCAGGGGGCGAAGCCCCCCCATCACATAATATTCCACTCAAACGCTCCATCTCACTTCATCCACTCAATTTCTCTTCTTCAATCATATCACGGCAATTCAGTGATGATCAAAGTCAAGGATATAATCGTGAATTTATGGGTATATAGTCCCATCGGGTCGTGAGAGAGAGCCCCCCAATGATTGACGCAACATAATGCACATTGTGTCACCACTCACGCGCAGAATAAAGTTGACAAATAATTCCCGGCGATTGTTAAGTGACATTCAAATAATCCCAACGTCCTTCCCTCTCTCTTCTCCCATCCTCGACGATTATAAGTGGATTCGACCCCCAGGATTTGAGTCCGTTGGAATACCCTACGCTCACTGTCTCCTCATGCATGGGTGTTTTGATACAAGTGAGAATGACGGCAATGTGCATCGTCGATGACAGTTACGTAGGTTAGCCTGCATTATGCATGGATGGCATGTTTGCGGATATTCACGTGCCGGTTGTGCTCCTCCCACTTTGTAATGTAACGGTTTGTTAACCAATCCCGAAAGGGTCTTCGTTATGTTATTATTCTGGAAGTTGTTGAGTTTTCCGGGGTCGTTCAAGTGTAAAATTTAATACTTTGTGGAGAATATTTTTACAATATTTAAAAACAATTCAGAGATATTCAGAATCTTGTCATTCATTTATTTAATTATTTATTCATTTATTTATTTATTTGAGAATGTATTTTCGTTGGCCTATAATGACACGAGAGTCTTCAGAGGACACGTGTGAGCCACGCGTTTCGTTGTGCAGATTCGTCATTATGGTACGCCCACGTTGAGGACGCGATCTCCGGTTTGAAGAGATGTTGGAATTCATGTAGACACATAAATTGATTGTTTCGATAAGATGCCTTCGAGGTGTCAAGATTACGATTCTCCGGTAAAATTCGCCTTCTGCTAATTTTGTTGCTGAAGTCTGATGTCTTTATCGAAAAAATTGGCGGTTGAAGGTCAAATCGTGATGAGAATCTAATGTTATTCCACTATTTTGTGGTTACGTATGCGTGAAATTGTTGGTTTAGCCTTATAAGGGGGCTAGGCTGGGCCTAGTCAGCGCCTAGTCAGCGCCTAGTCAGAGCCTAGTCGGGGCCTAGTCAGCGCCTAGGCCTTCAGTATGAATTAAAAATGATATATGGATGACATTTGAATTAATTTCGATGGATAGGGCTCAACAGTACAAAAATTTGAAAAAAATTATTCAATTCGATTTATTGGCGTGAAATTAAAGAAAAAATGCTAAACTTAAAATTGAGCGATTACAATGCTTCCTTTCGGAAGCAAAAACACCAGAAACTTTTGCAAGACTCTCGTGTTCGTAAATACTGGAAGTGACGCCTCTTGGCCCATCAAACTCAGTTGCAATGGCCGGGTGTCGGGGGCGCGCACCAGCAATCCTAATAGAGATACTGTTGGGGGATAACTGGGTCGACGTGAGATGCCTTTTGTGGTGGAGAATACTCCCATTTTAATCCGCGTGAAAAATACTGAAGGATTCAAGGGAACCCGCGGTGGCTTTCGCAAGAGGACACTTTTTATCTCGACAAAATACGTTTTGAGAATATGTAACTATTCTGAAATTCACTCGAACCAGGATCTCGGGGTGTAGGCACGATGTAAATCCTAATAAAGCTACCGTGGAAAATTTCAAACAGCCCACGTGACGACGCCTTGAGTCAGTTTTAGTCAAAAGGTCGTGAACGGCTCTGTTAATGATCAAAGAATGCCTGAATGATTCAATTTCACCGCTCTTGGTGTTTTCAATTTCTTTTGTGCCCTCGGACAAACAAAATTACTCAATAAATTAGGCAATGGAGCGGAATGATTTATCGTCGGGGGACTTTCCTCACCCGGTGAAACCTTTTCCACTCTGTGAAGTTTGGATATTTGGCGCAGACAGCATCTCGCCGCGAGATGGCTTTAAATCTTCCTTTTAAAAAACACTGCTTTGTTGTCCCGCTGGCCAATTCCACATTCAACAAACGTAAATCTCGGGTGTCAGGGGAGGCCTCGCCGAATCGTCTCGCGAATGAGGCGATTTGGACGGGGAATATTTGGGTCACTCGCTGGTACTTCGGCTTGCTGATACTTCAGGGAAGTATTTGCTTGGGAAATTGGGGAATCATGCTTTGGGATTTTTTTATTGAAGACTGGCGTTGAGGTTTTTCATATTCCTTTTTTCAATTCAAAAGCAATGCGAGTGTTCAAGTTTCATGTTCTGATAAATGATTTGCTCATGTTGCAATTCCATAATTACAATCATTTTTTTTAGACACGATTTTTAATTGGTATTTACGGAAAATTTTTTCAATTGCGAATTCTAGTTCCGCTGGAATTTCAAAGGAATTTGTCACTTAAAATTCAGAATTTCACGGAAAAATTAATGACAGATTCGATATTCTCTTTTTTAATTGATCAATAATAATCATTCTCATTGCGAAAATCAATACGACCGATGAGAATTATATCTCCCAGTTCATCAGCTGTCGTTTATTCATGTTTCATAGAACGGCATTCAATTCTCTTCTGTTTGTCAGGCGGGCTTCATGAAAATTCGACGCAAGGCGATTGCACTCATGAAAACAGCCTTACTTTCCCCACTCGTTCGAGATGCCCATGCTTTTTTTCATAGAAAGGATGATTAATTCGTAAATTACGGAAAAAATTCAATTGCAAATTTCGCTTCAATCATTGAATTTCTGATGCCCCAGCCATCACCCCAGAAAGCCCTGAGCGTGCGATCTCATAACATATCGATTGATCAACAATACTCCCTTCCACAATCTCCTCTCGTCGAATTGTCGCACGCTGATGCAATTTTTTCCGCATCCACTTCAGATTACATTGTGGCGACTACAATGGAGGCATAAACATCTCATTGATTAGATAAACGTTTGTCTTCCCTCTGATCCACTTTTTCCAATTTTTTTTTTTTGTTGCAGTCTCATTTTTATGGTCCACCTGCACGTGCGGTCTGGATCGAGAGCATGTCGAAATGTCACGCAGAGAGGAAAAAAGCGGCGGAAAAAACACTGGAAGAAACGGTTCCTCATCGATCGTTCTTTCGGTAAGTCAACTTTTTTGTCATCTTCAATTCCGTATATATATATTTTTTTTCCACCTCCGCTCTCACTCGAAACGCCCAGGAATCGGGTAATAACTGTGTCAAGACGCTCTAGATCTCCTCTCGTACAAATTGCGCAAGATAGGCAACAGTTGAAGGCGAATAGAGGTGAATCAAAACGATGGAGCACGAATATCTACTGATCCGATATAGCTCCCAGAAGATCTGGTGTACTTACCTCCTCAATTTACAATCTCGATTACTCAAAACTGGTACACCGGAGTGGTTTAATATTCCAAGAGAATGACAAAACTTCACCGAGGACAAATTACCGGTTCCTCATCGTCTTGCAATCAGAGAAATGATGCATTTGAATTTCAATTGAATAAAACTTCATTTGAAATTTTCACATTTTCATCAATTTTTACAAATTAAACAATTTATCAATTTATTTGTATGAAAATGTTTCAATTACTGAAATGATTAGTTCATTCTATTAATAGAATTGAGTTGAATGGATTTGATAGTTCTCAAATAATTTGAAAATCAAAATTAATGGTTAAAATTAAAATTATTTGGTTCAAATGAAGTATTTCTCGAGGACACGAAGTAATCTCATGCATAAATTTTTTTCGCGAAACCCCGCGAGATGCCATGCAACTGACCCTCGACAAGCTCCCGTGTTTCGCATGAACTTTCCATGTCTTTAAATCATGTCACGATGGGCAAGAAAACCGGAAGCTCCCGGAGGCCGTAGCCAACTAAATCACCATCCTAATTGGCCTCAGCTTCCCCGGACCAATAAAAACCAACCTAAAAGCGTAGAAACTTGACCATCAGGAAGTCGAAAACCGAAACGAGTTCGAGGCCGATTATTTTCCTAATTGATGTCTCCAGGAAGTGATTCGCGATATCAAGCAGCAGTCGATGTTCTTGTAAGACCTTCAAAGGTGTTTGGAGACGTGTTAAGAGAATGATTAATTCCTGAACTCGTGAATCCTTTGAGGGAAGAGTTACCTAAAAGCGCTAAAACTTGATCAGGAGGAAGTCAAAAGCCTAATTGATGTCTTCAGCAAAGCAAGATTCGATGTTCCTATAAATTGACGCCCTGCAACGACTGAAGTTGCCAATCCTTTGAGAGAAGAGTAACCTAAAAGCATTAAAACTTGATCCTTAGGAAGTCAAAAACCTAATTGAGGTCTGTAGGAAAGCAATATGCGATGTTGTTTCATGATGTCATGAGACCAAATTAGCTCATGACTTGAAACTATCTGTACACCCCTAGATCTCCCTAAATTGCAGCTATCGTTGGATTCAGCTTCATCGTCAACGGAGTCTCAATGTTCGTCGTCTCCACATTCATCTAAACCTTTCAAGGATTAATCCCTAAACTCATGATGCTTCTCGGTGTGACTCCTTTGAGAGAAGAGCCTTTGAGAGAAGAGCGTAAAAACTTGATCCTCGGGGTAAAAACTTGATCCTTAGCAAGTCAAAAACCTAATTGACGTCTCCAGGAAAGCAACATGCGATGTTCTTGTACGTTCTTCAAAGGTATTTGGAGACGTAGCATAAGACCAAATTGGCAGTGAACCTATCGCCAGAGTCAGCTGCATTGTCAGCGAAATCTCAATCCTCAATCGTCTCCACATTCATCTAAACATTTCAACGATTAATCCTTCAAGCTGTGATGCTTCTCGCTGTGACGCCCTGCGAAGACTAAAGTTACCAATCCTTCGAGAGAAGAGTGTAAAAACGTTAGCCTTAGGAAGTCAAAAACCTAATTTATGTCTCCAGGAAAGCAGCACTCGTCTAAAGTGACTAAACCTTTGAGAGGAGAGTAACCTAAAAGCGTTGAAGCTTGATCCTCAGGAGATCAAAAACCAAATTGACGTTTTCAGGAAAGCAACATGCGATGTTCTTGTCAATCCTTCAAAGGTATTCGGAGACATGCCATGAGACCAAATTGGCAGCGAATCTGTCGCCAGCTTCAGCTTTATTGTCAACGAAATCTCAATCTTCAATCGTCTCCACATTCATCTAACCATTTCAAGGATTAATCCCTGAACTGGTGATGCTTCTCGGTGTGACGCCCTGCAACGACTAAAGTTACCAATCCTTTTTCCTTTCAGTCTCCACTCCACTCGCCGATAGAAGAGCAACTCAGGCAAGAGTGGGGTCCCGGTACAGTTGCAAATGTGAATTAGTGTATCTGGGAGGTTCACGATGAGAACTCTCATCTGTGTGCTGTATCGGGTGTGTGGAGTGAGAATAAAGGAAAACCGGTGGGAGGCTTGATACCAGAGAGGGGACTCATCTGTGGGAGGGGGGGAGCACAAGCTCACGAGTTGGGAGGCTGGGCGTTAGCAGGAGTGGTAAAATATAGAAGGGACCACACCAAGCAAGTATCAACGAAGAATTGAAGAGACCAAGAGAGATGGTAAGAGGTGATCTAGCTGGTGAGGCATCAAAGGAGAGGGAGGGACAGGTCGCGTGCCGGCGTGGTGCTTGGGATTTGTGCCTCGGCTGCTGGCTACTCCATCCAACATATACCTCTTAGTTGTTGAGTACTTACCTTACCAACGTATATCGGTGTTATTCCACAACGGTACACCAGAATCGCTGGAATAACTGGCGGGGTGGGGTGGGCGAAAAATAAGACAACATTCAGCCGGGAATTGTCTTAGTCTGGCTGGGGCTACCTACTTTGAAAACCCACCCGTAACATCGGGCTCAACCTATCCCCGCCCAAGTTGCCCGCATTTGCGATATTCTTTCGAGACTACAATTCCTACTCCTCGATACAACCACCACCTTCATTCAATCCTTCACCGTCTCCTCATACTTTGGCTCAGCAGTTGTCGAGGCGAGTGTGTAACGTGCAACAGCCAGGGATTTCCAGGCTTTTTTGGGGGGTTTGCGCTTCGTTTGTTGACTAATGCCAGCGAACGGGGCATCAGTCAGGACTCGTCTGTCCTGACGACACGTGGATACCTCTGGGATACCGAAGAGGATTGTGATTTCGGTCTCGTTGAGACTGAGTTTTTTGGTAATTGACAGAGTGAGGTTGGTGACTAGTGCCTGTCTGAATCATGAAAACATTCTGGTTTTACTCGGTGTTTTGAGGAACAGTGAAGTGCTTGGAGATAACACGTGCTTTATCACTGACTGTGCACTGGGATATTTTGGTTTTTGGTTTCTGGTTTATCTGGTGAAGCGAGACAAGGTGTTAGTGATCTTTATCAATCGGCAGCTGGTGCCCGTTATGGAATGACGGAGAAGGTAAATTTTATTAGATGACTTCGTCAGTTGATTTTATTTCGTCGCGGGGAGCCAACGGCCCGCTGAATATTTATGAAGTGGAGGAACATGAGGTTTGAGGATTGAGACGTGGTACCGCTGATTGATGCCCCTGTCCCGTTGTGATTATAATTCATTAGGTTATCGCGGGAATTCGGCCTAGTTAGGTCGGGTGATTAATTTCGAATCGCTTGATTTGATCGGTCTTGATGTTATCGGGGAGTTTTTATTTTTTGTTTTCGATTGGGAAATCGCGTGAGGTTTCTCAATGTATTCCTTTGGGGCAGGGAAAATCGTGTCGCCCACGTTCATCCTTGCAGCACACGGACGGCGTGTTTACCCGGTTGGCATCCAGACGGTGAGGCCTCCGAACACTCCCGCGCAGACTTCCTCGGTCATAAATTCAGGGGCATCCCCTGGGAGAGATATTTGAATTGTTGTTGCACAAATCCTGAAATTTTCTATCGTGTTTAATTTCCACTGGAGTTTCAGGAAATTCTGACGTTGAAAAATCAAATATTTCATTGATTTTCTGTTCAAATGATCTGGAAATCAATAAAATACTCGATTTTTCAGGTAAATTTTTCCGTGAAAATTCTGGGGAAAATTGAAAATTTAGGTCATTTTGGTTCTGGATTTTCATGTTCCGTTGGAAATTCAATCAAGTCGTGAAATTTACAGCTCACTCCCCCTGAAAACTCATGAATTTTACCTAAAACTTGAAATTTCATAAACATTTTTTCCATAATTCAAGCTTTTTCACTTGAAATTTCATGGAAAATATTTCATGTTTAAAAACGCCGGAGTTATTTGAAATTTTTGTATATTTCTCCACTGAAGAATCAGTCAATTTCTTGAATATTCAAGTAATTCTCGAATGAATGAGAATTTTTATGAACATTTTCATTTGAAATTAAATTGAAACTCAACATTGAAAGTTCAGATGAATCTGCGACTGAAATTTCAAGAAATTTTTGACAGTGTGGGAGTTTTTTCGAAGGGAATTTCAAGAGGGATTTCGTTAATAGTTTTGACAGTTGGGGATAATTGAAATTTCTCGGGAAAAACGAGGAAAAATGAGGAAATTTTTCATTTCAGTGGAAATTTAATGAAATTTCATGGAAAATTTAATGGAATTTACAGATTTAAGTGAATTTATGGGATTTCCACGGGGTTTTAAGGGGTATTTGAACTAAAATTGACCGTTTGTGTCGACTTTTTTCATCAAGTTGTGAATTTTCGAGCGAAATGTGCGAGGTTTATTCAAAATAACGCTGAAATTTCAATAAATTCAGAGAGCGGGAATATATTTATTGCTTTTTTCCTGATTTCTTGAACTGGAAATGACAGTTTGCGTTGATTTTTCCTTCAAACAGTGAATTTTTTCAGACGAAATTTTAGTAGAACTGTCACCTGATAAAAATTTTCTAAAAATTCTGGAGATTTCAGACGAAAATTCTCAACTTTTTACTTGAAATTTTAATTATTTGAAACTCCAGAAATATATTTATCTGAATTTTCCTGATTTCCATGAATTTTCACGAAATAGATGAGCTAAAATGAAAAATTCCACAAGAATTATTCACTAAATTATAAATTTTCAATGAAACGATCACTTAATGAAAATTCCCAAGAAATACCCCAGAAATTTCCTCTGAAATATCCTAAAAGTCCAACGCTATTCACCATTTAATACCTCAATTTGT